AGCCAGGTGGGCTCTGTCTCAAAATAAAAATAAAAACAGGGTTGAGGATGTCGCTCTGGCCCGGGGTTTAATCCCTACTAGCCCCAGTACCAAAGGAAAAGAAAAGACAAAAAGGGTCAATATTGTTGCCATGCAAATAACTGCTGAGCACTTTTTAGGGTCACAACTGAGATGATTGGTGAGAAAATGGTTGCACTGAGTTGAAAGCCAGCTCCCCCACCCACCTGACAGAATGCACGGGCGACAAGAGACAGCCGCCGAAGGATTCTGACTTACGTTCATACACACGTGTTCTCACTCTAACATCAGTATAATAGCGCACTAGATACACATATGTACACCTGTCCCCTTAATCATTAAGTGAGCTGCCTTCCTAGTAAGCCTGCCCCTTTCACTTACTCATTGCAGAGAAACTAGAAGAAACCAAACGGTCAGAAGGCCTCCGTTAAGGTCAAAGACAGTCAAAGAAACAGATCAGATAGTGACCAGCACCCACCTGGGGATAGGAAAGACGCTCGTCCCCAATAAATAATAGTCCCCAATAAGAGCTCCTGGGCTTTCCGCTCCGAAGACCCCTAATATTCTAGACAGCTGAGTTAGGTAGAAATATTGTAGGCAGATAGGACTGGGCCCCGAGAGAGTCAGTGCAAAAGATGAAGACACATTACAACAGTGGCCAGAGGCGCGCCGGTTGGAGACCAGGCCTCAAGACAAAGAGAAATGACCGGGCCTGCAAGCCTCCCCAAGGGATGAGGTAAGGGGTGACACCTGGTCTAATAAAGTCTAGACAGACATCAGTCACCCGGCAGGTGTGACCAAGACCTCCAGACCCATCCCTTCCCAAAAAGTTTCTTTTTCTTTCCATGTGCAGTTGCTACATGACCGGCTCCCCCACTGGATCATTATTACCTATGAGACTATTCTTGTCACCTTAACAGGTGGGTCATAGCTTTAACCTGCATTGTGCCCATGGGGTTGTGCTCTGTTTTGTGCAACAGGGGACCGGCAACCCATTCAGGACCCTCCCACCTCTCGGGAGCTATCCTCTGGAGAAATATTCCCTACCTTAACCTCTGTTTTTCCTTACAATTCATTCTTTGATTTTTGGGGAACATGAACACGGAATATCTGACATCCGGCAGGTTGGGAGTCATAATATTTCTCCTGTTATCATTTGGAGGCCTGATATCATTCCTATGTCACTATTACTCATGGTGGCTATTTATCCTTTTTCTTTTCCATCTTTTCCCGCAAATAAGACAGCTTTGGTTTGCCCCTTTTTAGTTCTTTACTGGCGCCGAGTTTAGGATCACCAGAAGCTGCGCGTTCAGCAGAGCCGTGGTGTGTTGTGATGTGGTGAGGTGAGCTGTCCACCTCTGGACATAACACCTGCCTCGAAATAAGGAAGGGCTGGGGATGCAGCTCAGTGGTCGAGCACTTCCTTGACATGTGCAAGGCTCTGGGCTCGGTCACAAGTGCCACTAAATTAAAAAAAAAAAAAAGTCAAGTAGAGCAATGAACAGAGAGCCTGAACACAGAAAGTATCACAGAAGAGGGCATCTGACTGACAAACACACACATGGAAAAGCATTCAACTTCGTGCATCATGATTTGTAAGTGAAGGATTGCTGCGTTATCATTACGCCGGCTTCAGAATTCCTGAAGTGGGAAAGCTTGGCAATGCCACGCCGGGGTGGACGTTCCCTATGACTGGTGATTCTCCTTCTGGGCAGACACCCAGGGGCCATGTGATGTTCACAGCAGCCTTATTTGTTAGAAATATCACAGGATCAATGAGAGGATATGTAAATGTACCACAGTGTAGGGCATCAGAGACAAGTCGGAACAGTACCCCAAAAGGAGGGGGACTCGACTCACTCTGGGTGGGTTCTTGATTTGTTGTTACAGAAAAGCCTTCTGGGATGCTCATGAGAGGCTCAGGCAGCTTATCAGGCAGAACACAAAAAAGTGCACCCTCAAAGGGAAACAGCGTAGACGCTCGGTGGTGAAGTGTGCTGTGGTCTGGGGTTGGGTGTGTCCTCAAGACAGAGGTCTGGGACAGAGGTCTGGGGTGTTTATCTTTTGAGTTATTTATTGCTTACCTAGTGTCAGAGTATCCACTAGTAGGCTCAGGCAAAATTTAACTTTATCGATTAGGTTAAAATACAAACCGTATTGCTGCCTGCCTTGCAAGAGCAATGTCCTGTGTTTCATCCCCGGTACCAAAAAAACAAAAACAAAACAAAACCTATAAGCTGGGCATGGTGGCGCACACCTGTAATCCCAGCACTCGGAAGGCTGAGGCAGGAGGATCGCTGTGAATTTGAGACTAGCCTGGGCTACACAGGGAGTGCCAGGGCAGCCTCAACTACATAGTGAGACCCTGTCTCAAAAACAAAACAGAAAATAAAAGTTGTAGGATGCCTTTAAAGTTTAGGCACATGGTACCCAATTAATAGTGCTGTTTCTTGGAGAATGGAAGACTTTAGGATTTACAGAATGGGAAGAAAAAGAAAGAAAAGAAAAGCATAGGCCCGGGCAGGGGATTTAGCTCAGCGGTTCAGTGGCCTGCCTTGCAAGCGCAAGGACCTGAGTTCAATCCCTGGTACCAAAACAAAACAAATGAACAAAAAAAAAAAGAAAGAAAGAAAGAAAAGAAAAGCACAGGCCCGATTCCAATTTACACACGTATAGCACCTTTAGGACTCTGGGCCATTCAGGAGCAAGAAGCACAGAAGAAACCAGGCCCAGGGTTGAGAAGGCGTTGTGACCTCGGGTGACTGATTACGTCTGGAAGTGGAACTTTTGTATAGCCCCCTCAAAATTATAGTTCCATCAAAACTACAACTTCTTTGTCTCCTTTCTACCTATCTTTATTTCTTCTATCTTATTTTAAGATGTTCATGGCCAGAACTCTATACTTCACAGAACCATGAAAAATGGCCACTGCATACAACAACGTGGATATATTCCACAAGTATAATGTTAATTCAACAAAATAAACTATGAATGAATACATACTTTGTGCTGCTAAATGTACATAATCTATCTCATTCTCCTCCAAGATTGAGAACATCGACATAGCAGATTTTCAGGGACATTCAAATACCAGTGGGCACCTAGCAGTCTCCATCACTGCTCCACACCACCTCGGGCTCCAGCAGAGCCTCACAAAACTGAGATTGTCCCAAGCAGAAGGGTGGAGGTCACACTGTCCCCTCATCATGAAGGCCTTTTCCGGAGCCATCTTGCAAAATCAAACCGAGAGAGGGATCCACCAGACCCTGGCCCACTTCCGGGGTTCTATAAAAACTGGCCGTGTCCCTTTGTTAACAGGTCCCTCTGTTCTTCTCCATCAGAGCCTTGTGTGTCCTCTTTAGCTCCTCCTGGAATTTAAGTCCCCTCCCATTTTCTTTTTCTAGCTCTGCCTGGTAAATCAGCCTGTGCTGAGTTTCCGTTTTCACATCTGAAAAATGGGAGCACAAGATTGTTTTGTGGAGTAAAAGACTTTTAAAAAAGGGTGGGGGCAAGCTCTGGGTAAATCGTACAGCTTCCTACAAATTTTCCTTATAGCATCTCTATTGCCCTTCTTTTTTTTTTTTAATTTTTGAGACAGGGTCTCACTATGTAGTTGAGACTGACCTGGAACTGCCTACGTAGCCCAGGCTGGTCTCAAAATCACAGCGATCCTCCTGCCTCAGCCTCCCGAGTGCTGGGATTACAGGCGTGCGCCACCAAGGCCCGGTGCCCTTCTTTTTGTTTCTCCCGTGCCACCCCCTTCCAGCTGTGGAACAACTCCGAATTAAGCCTCAGAAAATCCGTCCAATCAGAGAAAAGACTTGTGTTTCCGCCTTCCGTACTTAAACGAGCCAATCAGATCGTCTGGAGGGTGAGCGATTCGACCCTACGGTAATATTCTGTAACGAGTCTTGCATTTTCTTGCGTCCTGGTGCTCAGTTCTTTGTCGGCTCATACCTCAGCTTCCCGGCCTTGGAAGAAGGCTTCGTACTCTTCTCGTCCCAGTTTCTCGCCTCGATTCCAAAAGGTTGAAAGGCGGGGACCGGAAGTGTGCGCTGCCGTGACGGGTCCCCCGCGAACCGTCGCCGGAAGTAGCTGCTTCTAGAGCAGGGTTCCGTCGGCTCGGTCATGGCGGCGATTCCCCCCGACTCCTGGCAGCCGCCCAAC